CACTTGAGCTTTGGCCCAACGATCCTTAACTCTCACAACTGTGCACCATTATAGGAACGAACATACAAGCGCAAGCTAGTCTTGTTTGCGTGTCTTGTTAGCCGAGAGGGATTGAATGGCAATCTATTTGTAATTGTGTAATCTGGTATAGGGTAGCCCCGACAGTCGAACAAATGAAGTTACCAAAATACGTATGTGGATAGATATTTACAAAGTCTAGCCAGAAACGAAAGTAGCTAAATATTTTATTCATTTTAACATTGCAACATGTTGCAATGTTGTTCTTTCATCGCCTTAGTAACTGATCATACTTGAGTGACACGGCCCTGGCTACGTTCCGAATGCTACTAACAATATACATTCTTCGAGAATCATGCCTTTCTTTCTCGTTTGGGCGAGCCCAAATCCAATACATACAATACCGATATACCATTGTGGTCAGACAACACGTCAAAACCAGGAAACATCATGCAGTGTTTCAATTAAGAAACATTGCTGATGTCTAGCTAGCATCCACACTGCCCAAGCCTGTCTCATTCCTGGGCGCCTTGCCCGGAACGCCAGTACAATTTTCTAGACCTATTTGCTGAGTTCCCGACAATCGGTCACAAACTATCAAATATGCCAATTAGATAAAGGTCATACTCAAAATCACGAAGCAAGAGGTTGATCTCTTAACAGCTGTACACAATCATGTGATAGGCGAGCCACATGCGGTAGCGGCGCACAGCCACGTAACCCCACACCCGAATGCGGCCCCTGGCTGGGGTCGCATCTCACAGGTTGCGACAACAGACAACACTTACTTATCGTACTATGATCGACTATCTTCAATAACATACCAGCTCCTTCACGATGGATGACCTCTCAGGGCTCGATTGGTCCTCCAAGCCAACTGGCGGCCAACCGAAGCCGCCAGTCATGAACTCGGCCTTTGCGTCAATGCGACCAACACCATCCCCGTTGGGTTCTGGACGTAACACGCCTCTGTCCACACAGGGCTCTGGTTCCTTGGCCCCTAAACCGGCACCCGCAAAGCCCTCTCAGGACAGTTTCAGCAATTTGATGAATTTCGGACAGGCAAAGGCGAAGCAGAACTTAAGTCTGGCAGAGCGACAGGCGCAACTCGAGGCCGAGAAGCGCCAGAAAGAGGAGGAGAGGAGGAAGCAACAGGAGGCCCAATTCGGAAATGGACAGTTCTGGGATACCCTTGGGAGCAGAGGCGCATCGGTGAGCCCTGCATTACAACCGCCAGTCTCGAATAAACCCAAGGCCGATGACGATGACCTCTTTGCCGCCTTTAATAAAGACACCAAGGTCGACAATTCGAGCCATTACCCCCCTCCCGAGTCGCAACGATCAACCCCAGCGAGTGCAGTTCCAGCGGCAGCACCGATCAATTTGAGCGATCCGAATGCGTGGAAATCTAGTGGTGCATCTGGGACAAATGGTGGTGGATTTGGAATCGAGGATGACGATCCTTTTGGTCTGAGCGAGATAAAGCCCGCTGCAGCTCCCGCTGCATATGCTCAACAGGTTGACGACGATGATTTCTTGGGAGATCTTGGCCGCCCCGTCGACGAGGTACGGCGCAAACAGGAAGCGACCCGACCCAGCCCCGAACCTGGAAAGCCTCTCGAGGATGAGGATTCAAGCTCGTCCGAGGAGCCAGCTCCTCGAGCACGCGAGCAGTATACTGAACGACAGCCTCGAGTCAACAAGGATCCTTTTGATAGAGCTGTGGCGCAGCTTGTGGACTACGGCTTCTCCGCTGACGATGCCCGACGCGCCTTGGTCGAGAGTGGTGATGGTTACAACGCACAAGCCGCAGTTAATTGGCTTCTAGACGAGGCGCATAGGAAATCTAAGGAACAAGCGCAAGGCAAGACCCCTTCTGCTAGCTCATCTAGACCTGGAAGCCGACCCCCGAGAGGTGACAGTAGGTCACCGGCAGTAGGGGACCAGGACTTGGGCAAGACAGCAGCAGCGATGGGCAACAGCTTATTCAAGACCGCCAACTCGCTTTGGAAGACTGGTCAAAAGAAGATGCAGCAGGCGGTTGCTGACTTCCAGCAAGATGGCGACCCAAGCCAGCCTAAGTGGATGCGGGAAGCACAGCAAGCTAGGGAGCATGGCACTGGAAAAGCTCGGGCAGATGCTACAGATGAAGCCATGATGCTCGAAGCTGGTGGCCGTCCCCAACCTCGCCGTACCAACAGTCGACCTACTGAGCAGAGGGCTACTCCGCAACCATCAAGGGGACAATCACCTGCTCATTCTGCTGGGAGCCGTGCTAGTCCTGCCCCCCGATGGCAACAGCAGGCACAACCTCCGACGGCAGCCTTTGATTCTAAACCGCGACTTAACCGACTGGCGGCAGACGATGATAGCTTCTCGACCTACAGTAGTCCCAATAGGCGAAAGAAGACTCCTTCGCAAGCTACCTCACCGGCGCCGACTCCCAAGCCAGCTGAACCCGAACCAGATCTGCTCTTTAACTCCCGAGAGATTAAACCCTCTCAATCTCTACCTTCAAGGTCGGCCCAGCCATCTCCAAGACTGACACCACAGGCTAAACGGCCAACACCCCCTGTTCCAAGACCCTCACCACGACCAGCTCGAGAGATACCTTCTATCAGCCCTGTGGCCCTGCAGACTTCAACACAACATCGACTCCAAGGTACAGCTCATTTCAAGCGAGGTGACTATGCCGCTGCACACTCGTCGTATTCGTCTTCGCTGTCGGCTGTTCCCCCAACACATCCTCTCGCCATCCTTCTCTTAACCAATCGCGCTCTGACTGCTCTGAAAACCGGAGAGCCAAAACAGGCCGTTGATGACGCTGATACTGCACTTAAGCTCATCGGACCTGGTAATGGACAAGGAGAGATGGTGGCTGTGAAGAATGAGAGTGGAACAGACGAGAACCGAGACTTGAAGGACCTCTATGGTAAAGCATTGAGCCGGAAAGCTGAGGCTCTTGAACAAATGGAGAAATGGGCGGATGCCAGTGCGGTCTGGCAGCTGTGCGTGGAGAGTGGTGTTGGCGGATCGAATGCTATCAAGGGACGACAGCGATGTCAAAACACGCTGGCACCTAAGCCTAAGCCAACACCTAAGTCAGCCGCGGCCAAGCCCCGACCCAGACCTTCAGCGACAGCTAGTCTTGCGCCCCAGAAGAGCTCCGAGGCAGTCACCCGCCTTCGCGAGGCCAACGAGGCTGCAGCGAAGGAGGACGATGAGAAGTTTGTGCTCTCCGAGAAGGTTGATGCTAAGGTCTCTGCCTGGCGCGACGGCAAGCGAGACAACATTCGTGCTCTACTTGCCAGTCTTGATAATGTGCTGTGGGAGAACAGTGGATGGAAGAAGGTGGGCTTGCACGAGCTGGTCATGAACAACAAGGTCAAGATCTCGTATATGAAGGCGATTGCGAAGACCCATCCCGATAAGGTAAGCATACATATCACTCTTGAGCCAAGTATATTCTAACATGTCACAGCTCCCTCAAGACGCAAGTACCGAGGTGAGGTTGATTGCGGGTCTGGTGTTTAGTACTCTCAACGAGAGCTGGGATAAGTTTAAGGCAGAGAATGGGCTATGAGCGATTATGCATGAGCATGAACTGGCGGAGTTTGTAGAGCGTTCACGATAGAAGCGTTTCCTAAGAAGGACGAGTATATGAATGTTGATTTAGGCGGCTATACCGCTGCCGAACACCATGCTATGCCATGCCAAAATGATGTGCGCCGATACTCCTTGCCACTTTGCCCTTTTTACTATGATAAAGGGATGTTATAGACCCAGCATCCTTCGCACGCCTTCGCGAACCTTATTTTCATACTCGGTGCGACGCTCGCGCCACATCTTAGCAGCCTCGACGTTTGCAGGAGATTCATCGTTGGGCTCGGCGAGCATGCTCATGACAGATATGAGGATCTTCTCGACAGACTGGATAGGCGACCATCGCTCGGATGCGTGCTCGTAGTGGTTAGGGTCGTCGCCAGGAGGGTGGAGGATAGAAATGCAGACGAGTCCGCTAGGGTACACTTGGAAGAGTCAGTAAGCGCAGCTTAGATTAGAAGAGTTGGATAGTGACAGACCATTCGGGTGCCATACGTCGGCGAGGAACTTCATAGATGGCGGGGCAAGAGGATAGTCCTTGGGGAACTTGAGCTCGGCGGGAAAGACACCGCCCTCGAAAGGAGTGCCTTCGGGGCCTTGGATCAAACATTCCCAGTGAAGGAGGTCATCCTCGGAAATGGGGCCAGCGGTGATGCCCTCGGGAGGGTTGTTGGTGAGCGCGCGATACTCTTGGAGAAGGCGGCGGTGGGCGGTAGATTGCGCCATGATGCGGGGTGTCGTCGGCGATAGAGAAGGGTCAGACTTTGATTGCCGCCAGGTAGCCGCAGTAAAAGAAACAGAAATCTAAATGTTGAAATCAAGAGCGCGGAATAATCTCTAATGTGTTGTAGCGACGTTCATCCAAGGAAGCGGAAGGAAGGTGCAGCAATCGGACAAGGTGGAGGGAAGGTGACGGCTAGTGGGGACCCCGGAATTTGGGCCGCCCCACATTTAGACTTCGGAGGCATTTTGCCCTTTTGGGACAGAGAGTCAAGGAATCATTGATATGACGGCAGATTGAAGCGTGAGGAGCAGCAGTTGACAATGTAAGAGCGCTGATAATAGAAACAGTCGGCAGGCAAAATGACCCATAGCGGTAAGCATAGGTTGGCGCATATGCTGACTGTCAACACCGTACGCTGACATGGCCGGAAACACACCGAGGACATGGGGACAGAAAAGTATGGCAAATGAACATTACTAACTATAGTACAGGTGTTCAATAGGGTAGTGTAAGTTTATCTGACACTTTGGAAGCACTCCAACCTCGCTGGTTGTGACTGAAATGGTCCTCATATCGCCATGATGCGCTATCTTGCTCAAAACTTGAGCAAAAAACGTCAAAAAATATATCTCGACTGCTGTCGAGCTCGTGCTATCTCCGGTGCGGGGAGTCGAACCCCGCTCGCCGCGGAAGCTTCATTAATGAAAACGCGGAATGATAACCGATACACCACACCGGATGTCTTGTTGTTGAAGACACTCGACGATTTTGTGGAATATCAAGGGTACAGCCAAGCCATAGGCTTCTGTGACTAACACTGCCCCACTTGGGTCACTAGCAGCAATCCGCCTGTCCCCTAGGGCATCGATATTGCCCATGATGGTTCGCCATATGATTCAACAACGTCCATGATTTGCCGGAACTCAAGCTCGTGAGACTTACTGCTGGAAGCTTTTGTCGCATCAAATCGGTGAAGAATGACCTTCGGCGTAGTTCTTGGGAGAGTTTTGTGTGAAGTTTGGGACGTCCCATCTTCTTGACTTCCAGCGGTTGCCTCCTTTCTGTGTATCAACTTAAAGATACAGTCACTCAAAGGCTCAGCAAACGAGGACGATAAGTAGAGTAGGAGCTAAATAACGGTATATGAATTTTCGTTCATTATATCGTTATGACAGTGACATTCCTGATGCCCTGTCTCTGCAGATACTAGCTATTTGTCAGAAGGTAAACAATTCTATATTACCTAGGTAGGTTGACTCACCTCAAGCTTGATATGTTATGGTACCATAAACAGAATTGGCTACCTCGTTTGATAAGCTGAAGCTGACTCTCGGCGTTGGATTGGTTACGTTTTCGCTGATGCATTGATGCGAGGCCTTTCCACAAGGGAGGCTCGGGAACGTCTGGTACCTGCAGATATATGTCCTTAGTTGACTTAAGATGACTGCGAAGCTTATTCGGTCCAACCTCTGCTGACCTAGTAAGACATGAGCTGAACAGGATGTGGCATCAACCCTTGATTTTCGAGTTCTCTCTCGGTCTTGAGGTTGTCATGAGAGTCGTTTGCTCGGGACAAGATGATCAAATCTGCGGAAATCGTGCTGTTTTTCTTTGTTAAAGCTAACCGCTGAGTGATGTGCAACAAGTGAGAACATACTTAATGAGAGTCGTTTATCTCTGAAGTCGGGGAAGGCATGTCTCATGGTAAACGCAGGAAGGGATGAAGGCCGGGATGGATGACAAAGAGGGAAGAGAAGGTGGAGATATTCTCGCAATCTTGGATAAGAAGAGGAGGTATGGAACAGAGTACACGAGTCTATGGCTTGAAGTGAAATGCTTCTTGTTTCTTGTTTGCTAGTGTTTGCTTTTTGCAGGCGTTCAGCTTAGTTGCTGACACTTCCAGGTACTGTACGATAGAGGCAGGTAACACTCCAAGCACAACGACGCAACCAAGAACTTACTAGTTTGTTTTGACAATAGTTCTTCATATAACTTCGCCTGAAACGATGCGGCGCCATCTCATATTCATTTATTGCGATCTCGGTGTTACTACGTCGGGTGTTGTGTATGCCTCAGAAGAAGTTTTAACAGCTACAAAGAACACTGTTGGTCCTCTAGCGAGGACTCTCTATTCCTAGAATGCTACAACCTCTCTGCTAAAAGTAAGGAAAACATGACACCAACATAAAAAATGGCAAATATGGATGCTCACGCGAAGACGCTGTTATTACCACCACGAGACAGGAGAAGTTCCCAACCTGACTGCGGATGACATTCAAAGATTATGCGATGACCACCTCATAGCATTGTAATACCTATAATTCCGAAGTAGTCAGCCTCCTTTTTATTTGCTTCATCGTTTATGTCAAGTGTCTGTCCTCTAATATCTACTCTAGTCTCCTTTCAGTGTTCTCCTAGGCCACTTCCCACTAAGTGTGCCGAGCTGCGTTCGTTCCTGATATCCAGTCATTGAGTTTAGTTTGTATTCTATATGGGTGCATCTCGGGACATCGATGTTACATATGGTCCGTGTCTTTTCCCGAGTTTGGCTTCGGTCAAACTTTCATCAACATCATCCCAAGTACTAGGCATTCCATCTAAACAGACACTGTCTTGTCACACAAAGACCATTTAAAACGGCATCCAAAGTAGTTGTACCGCTCTATCGCATGCCACTTTCTGACCTCTGTGAGAACAAATACTAATATGCGCCGAGCTATCCAAAGCGGACATTTAGAACAAGTTCGTGAAGAGTTTATTAAATGTTAGGGATGAAAAGTATCAATTAGCCTAAACTTAGGTAATGATTTCTGAAGTATCATAAATTTAGACGAGTCTCATAGCAAAGTATGCATCTAGTGGCTTTCAGCGTTGTATGTTCTCGCAAGACCTCACGGGTTTCAACTTGCGAATATAACACAGCGAGGAGCTCACAGCTTCAGCATCAGCATGGATAGGAAGCTACTAGAAGAGTCTAGACCCAGGGCTTCCGAAGCCAGTCGTCAACCGGATGCAATCCCGAGGATAGCTATTCACAAGTAAGCGGCTCTTTGTCTTGGAACCGACGTTAACCTTGGACGGCCACTTGTTTGTGCTCGTTTGTTAGTGCAACCGCTTGCCAATTGTAGTCGTGACGTAACACTGCGGCTCAACCCGCCAGCCCGTCAACGCCCCTGATCTTCTTTGACCCTAGACTGAGGATCAAACCAGGAACTGCACAAGGATCTCGATGTTGAGGTCGGATTGAGTTTAGAATAAAGAGACGTGGTTGGACAATTGGAAGCTCGCGTCTCACGTGGAGAACGCCATTTTCACCCCGCAATGTGCAAATATGAGCGTCATCGACGTCATTTCCGGAGCTTCGTTCCTGAGCTTAGCTTGTGATGTTATTTTCTGTTGCTTTCATCGTGATCGTGCGGGTACGTCATTCCCGAGCCAAAAAGCATATTATGTACCTAACTTTCAAAATGCCATCTTTAATACTTTTCTTCCATCATCATCACACCCTCTCCTCACTTTTTCTTCATCACCCCAACTCTAACTCAATACTCGCTCACTCATCCTCCCTTCACACGTAATTCGACATCATGATTCCCGCCCGTCCTCTCATCCGATCAAGCGTGCCTCGCGCCGCACGAGCTACTCGCGCTCCTCGTCGCCAGATTCGCTTCCAGTCCACATCCTCTTCTTCATCATCCTCAAGCAGCACTCACCTCGCATCCGGTATCGCTGGTGGTTTCGTCGGCTCTGCCATCTTCTACGGCATCTACTCATACACACCCGCTGGTCGCGCTGCCTCAAATATTAACACGGCTGCCAAGGAGGCTCAAAAGAAGTACGAGGCCGCTGCAAAGAAGCTGCAAGAGAAGACACCCGACGCCGACCAGGCTGTCAACTACATCAAGGAGTTTGCCTACTCATACGTCGGATGGATTCCTGGTGGCCGCGCATATGTTGATGCTGCCTTCCAGGACTGGGAGAAGGTCCGTGAGAACAACAAGGACGAGGCCGACCAGCTTGTCAAGGATGCCTACAAGCAATTCCAGGATCTCACCAAGTCCGGCCTGAGCCTCGAGACTGCCACCAAGGCCTACGATGTCCTCGCCGACCTCGCGAAGAAAGTCGCTAACCTCGCTGGCGATGCCATCAGCGACATCATCGACAACCACCCCCAGGTTAAGGAGAAGCTCGGCGGAAACGTCGACCAGCTCAAGGAGCTTGGTGATCAGTACGGCCCTGAGGCCAAGAAGCAGGTCGACGAGACTTGGAAGCAGGTCAAGGACATCTTTGCCGGTGGCTTCAGCGCTTCCAGCATAGCCAAGGCCCGCAAGCTCATCGAGGAGAAGGTTGAGCAGATCAAGAAGCTCGGCGATGAGGCCTGGAAGAAGGGTCTTGAGGAGGCCAAGCCTTACCTCGACAAGAACCCCAAGGTCAAGGAGCTTATTGAGAAGAATTCAGACGCTCTTAAGCAGGGCAACGCTTCCGAGGTCTTCAAGCGCGCCAAGTCCGCCGTCGACTCTGGCGACCTAGGCGATCTCGAGAAGTACGTAAAGGACGCCACCGAGAAGGTCAAGTCCAAGGGATCCGAGCTCAGCGGTGGCTGGGTCGACCTCGACAAGTACATCAAACAGGTCCCCAACGGCGGAGAAGTTATGGAGAAGCTCCAGCAGCTTAGTGAGGTTGCCGACAAGCACAAGGAGGAGGGCGAGAAGCTGTTCAAGGAGACCGTCGAGGAGGTGCGACAGGTCTTGGAAAAGAAGTCTGAAAAGGCCAAGGAGATCGCTGGTGACGCCAAGAGCGATGCCAAGAACGAGGCTAAGAAGGAGGCCAACTAAAAGGCACAGAACTGTACTCTAGTCTATGATTCCCTAATGATATCCTCTAATACTTGATGAAAGTTAAACCATTGCAACAAGTCCCAATTGAATCCATGAAAACTGACACAAATTTGAGGTGACCCCACAACGAGTTTGGCTCGTAGGCTTGAAGCCGTAGTTGAGGTTATTGAATGTTTCCTTTGGAGTGATGCAGAGAAATCTTACACTGGAATCGCGTTGGATGGTTGATATAGAGACGTATTAAATCTTCTAAAGAGTTCTGATATCTCAAAATTCCAACTGCTTCATTATTCGTCCTAGTCCCTCTCGCAACTAAGCTTGTCTCCTAATAACCTTTTTTAACCAATCCCTAGGACACTCCTTGGTCTATCCTAAGGCCAAAAACATTTGCCCGTATAATTAAATCGTCTAGGATCTCTTCATAAAGCATTAAGGGCTATACTTCAAGCCCCGGCGGCCAATCCGTCGACCGTTGAGGAAGAAATACTGTAAGTTGGCAATGATAGACATCACCAGACCAACAGAAGCAAGAGCCATAATAGCAGTCCAGCCAGTCTTATAGAGAGGGGCATCGTGTTCTTGGAACAGCTGACTTCCAATAATACCGGATGTGTTGGCTGACATGATGAGAATGGCCATGGTGATGGATCTTTCTCCAGCGGAGCCAGCGTTGAGGGACATCCAAGAGCCGTTCAGAGGATCTATAGAGAATTGTTAGAAACATGGTAATCAGAGTATTGTGTAATCTAGAAACTTACGCCATTGCCATCCAAAGGCATGTGTCAATGTCAACAAGGCAAATCGTGTATGCCCATCAGGAGAGTGAACCATGACACGATCAGCAATCTACCAAGAGTTAGCACTGCATCATTCCTCAAAAAGAAGTGACATACTGTAAATG